TTTTTTAACTATTTACTTTGTTTGGTATGGCATATGCAATTAGAATAATCTGCCCTTGTAGTCTAAAGTATTTGGTCCAAAATTCCATCATATATTAACTGAAGATGGTTGGAGTGTACAGTGGCTGAAATGTTGTGAATATGGCAATAAAGATGACAACAGTCCAAACAAAATAAATAATCAAAATATTAGTTTAAATAGATTTTTGTATATGAAGAACATTTTCAGTATAAGTGATTTCTCTGGATTCTTTGTAATCCCCAGGGTAATTTTTATATATATATATATATATATATATATTATTAGTATTAGTAGTAATCCTATAGGTATAAGAAACTACACTCGTTTGGAAAACCTTCAGTGTCTTGATTTGCAAATAATCAAACCAATACCAAAGGGGAAAAACGGTATAAAAAAAGAAAGAACCAAGAACATGTACATTAGCTGAAAATAATTGTCCAGCATGCAAGTTCAAAGCCCAAAGAAAAAAAACCTCGATACGAGTACACAAAACAACTAAATAAAGTGCTCAATACAGTAAGTAGAACAAACCTAGAGAGCCAGACAAACCTACCAACTATATATATATATATATATATATATATATATATATTACCCTGGGGATTATATATGTATAGCTTAATTTGTCTTATTGGTTCTTATATTCTAGAATAATTACACAAGATATATTCAGCTATTTCATAAGAACACTTTGCTTTTGCTGACAGATTTATTTCTACTTTTTGAATATTTGCCATTTTCAAGCTATGTATGCTTTTACTTGTGTAATTGTCCTATTTGTGTTGAAGTACTGGAAGAGTAATCATTCTTTATTTTTCTCATTCCTAATTTGAAATAAAATATGCACCTATGTCTGTAAATAAGTCCTATCTTTTATTTGCTAATGGTAATATTAGCCATTTCCTTATAAAGAAACATTTCACATTAACCAAGTAGCCAGTCCTCTGTTAATGGAAATTTACAAGATATTTCTATTAAAACAATTTTTCAAGAAAATAGGTTTCTCAAGTCCTGTAATTTTTATTGCTCTTTCCTGTACGAGGGGTGGGGGCTTTCTTCCTAACCTTTTGTTTGAAGTAGTGGGGAACAGCAACATCTTGTTTATGTCATTATTTTCAAATTGAGTTATATGTGCTATCTATTTTAGTTGTTGAAAGACCTTCAGTGATGTGGTTTCTGTTATTTTATAGCAGTTCTTTGTGAATCTGTAGCACCAGTCTATGAGGCTTGGAAGAGAGTCCTTAGTAAGACCTCCAGAGATCATTCATTGGAAGCCATTTTTAAGAATGTTTTTTTGTCTTGATTTTCCCATTCACTGGTTTTTGAATTTATTCTGTCCTTTATGACCTTATGTAAAATTCATTTACAAGGATTTCTTTTTTTTTTTTTTAAATGCTCAGTCTCAGAAGCTATTTTTTTCTTCTTTTCTAGATGCATAGTCAATTGAATCTATGAACTTTAAATTGAGATTCTCATGTTCAAAAAAAAAAAAAAAATGTATTCAAAAATACATTTAAAAAGTATATTGTATTGAATTCTCTATTTTACTGAAGAATTCTGAATATGAACATTACAGTTTTTGTGATAGATAATGAGTAACTGTCTTGATGTACTAAATGAAAACTGCTGTATACAACAGATGTATCAAGAAAAATGTTGGTAGGTTCTGTTAAAAGGTATAATTTTCTTAGCAATTTATCAAGAATATTGCTTTCGTGTACCTAATGACATGAAAACTGGTTATAACTTTAGGTGAAAGTCAAATAGCTTGTTTCAACTTAACCAGAAAAGCAGCTAATCATTTTCAGGCAATATGTCAATATTCTTTAGCCTCAAGAAGACTTCTCAGAGGTGACAATAGAACAGAATCTATTATTAAAGAATATTACAGTTAGTGCTGTATTGCTATGTGATATCCATCCCCTTATATAGCAGTAGATGTTGGGCAATTTCACCAAGGATGAGCGGTTTTTCTATCAGAAATATAATAAAAATCAGGAAAATATAGCTGAAATTCTTTTGTACACATAATGAGGAAGGGGAGCTTGGAAAATTCAATCCAAGCATAATGAAGACAAGAGAGATAGGGGAAGGCAGCAAGCCACTTTCCTGATTGGTGTGTGTGAATGGATGGAAGGACAGGGAAAAAGGGCTTAGCAAAGAGAAAAAAAAACTGCTAAGAGCCACTCAAGATAGATAGTTGGAGAGCCATGATTGTTTTGAAGGGATGTGGCACATAGAAGAAGAAAATTGGTGCTTGGTCTTGATAGGTTTAATAATATAAAGGTATTAGTTTTGTGGATGAGAGTAAAATTTAAAAAGATTTAATCTGTAAACTTTAAAGATAATTTAGGACCAGTTAATGTTTTCTAGGGCAAAGTGATTTCCTACTTTGTGTGTAGGTGTGTATATGTATAATACAACTTCCTATTCACTTATTTAGCAGTGATTAATATTTAGGAATTACACTTATAAGATAAATAATTACTTACCTATGGAAAAAATGAAATGAAACATTTGCATAGTGGCATGTTAGTGACAAGATTGTGCAGTGCAGGTAGGAATGAGTTTATGCCTAGAGAACATTGAGTTAGTATTTGACATGAGCAATCTTGAGTAGGATTTGAATTGTTCACCAATTCCACTTTCCAAGTTACTACCCAGTGTATCATTGTATGTTTTTGAAATTTCTTTTTATAACCAAAATCTAACCACCCACTGTATCCTGATAACAGCAATTTTTTTTTTTTTTTTAATATCCAAAGTAATGTTGTCATAGTAATCTGAAGATGCAGTCATGACTATTGTTTTCAACATGAGTTGTTTGATTTTTATCAGCCTCTCCAATCTTGCCAACCTCCCTTACTCTGTGCATATATCTCAAATCATAGTAGTTATACACTATTCTCTTGTTTTCTAAGGTTACTGGTTTCTTAAAAAGATTTGTCTTTAAAGTAAAGGTTGAGTAAGTTTGAATTGGATTTGTATGTGTTCCTTTTAAGAATTTTTGCAATATTAGAGATGATTTCTTTTATCTGGATTTAAACATATTACAAATTGATGTTTTTTGATCTTTGGCATTCACTTGTCTTAAACTGATGTTGATCATTGATTAATATACTTGGGAGTAATAAAATTAGTCTTTGAGCAATTTCTACATCAAACAAAAATACTAACAGTTATATAAATAAGTAAAATTCACTTTGTAATACTTTTGTTAGCTTATCCTGTTTATAAAAATAAAAACTCTAATTTTCTTGATGATTGTATAGTATGACAGATGCTCAGAAAGTAATGCCTACTATTTAGTTGTGTGGTAATTATAACTTGGTATGGAATGCATAAAAAAACAATGTTGGATAGAGTAAATTTTTGGATACAAAACCCTATTTTTCATGTCAGCAACACTGGCTGCAAATAAACAAGAGTTCTTCATACCATGGATTGATAGATGTGAAGGGCCACCTGAAACCTAACTTGTCGTAAACATCCCCATCTTCACTGCTGAAACACATTACCCACTACTTAACTGTGCTCACATATAATGTTGGGCTTGATAAATGTTCAACAAGCATTGATGAATGTCAGTGAGTGCAATTTCAATGTTCTGTCTAGTGTGTGTGTGTGTATATATATATATATATATATATATATATATATATATATGATGTGTGTGTGTTAAGCTTATACCACTTATCAGCTGAGTGGTAAACTGTAATAAGAAAATATTGGTTAAAATAAGCAAAATAATAAAAATAACAAAATATTGGTTATTGGAGGGAGGGTTCAATCTCTACTGCCATACCACCAATATCCATTTCTGTGGGAAAATATAATAAAATAAGAGGCATTACTTTGGAAATTTATTATTGTTATTGTACATGTTGTCATCACACGCAAAACAGATTTAATTCAAATTGACATTTAAACTTTGTTTTGAGTGAAGTAAAAAGCACTGCTCTTCAAAACAATTATATCAAAGTACTGATTTGTATTATTATCACTGCTGTAAAGTTTGTTTTTTTTCTAACTTGATATCCCCTAGTTCCTTTAACAATCCTAACTTTCATGGGTTGTTTCATAAAGACAGTCTTATGCCATACTTGATTGAGTTCAAGGAAATTTTGTTTCAATTGACTAACACCATGTAAATTGATATTTACTAATATATATATATATATATATATATATATATATATATATATATAATTTTGTAGCAATAAGATTTTAATGTAATACATTTTTTATTCAAGTATTGAAACAAGTGTCAGAAGTTCTCCTGTTGAGATGGCAACTTGTGACTAAAAATCAATATTGATTAAAATCTAAAGAATTTTTCTTGTTTGCTTTTCTTGTTTCCTTTTGTTATTACTTTCTTTTACAGTACAATTTTCCCTTGCAAATGATGAATACATTATTAAATGATTGTATATTAATAATATACCAATATTATATCACTGTGAATATAATTGTTATTTAGTAATTATATAATCAAGGTCATGAAACACTTGAAATTGACTCATTTTAGGATAACAAGATTAAACAGTTATCACTTTTTCATGTAAAAGAAACCCTATTTTGTGTTCCCACTCACTTTCACAATCTGCTTTTTTCTTCATAGTCTTGCTTTTTATATTTCTGCAACAATTTACACTTTAATAGGTAGTATTTTTACACACACACACACACATATATATAGGTGCTGGACATCTCTAGATCCTGCTAGAAGGAAAAATTAACAAAATATATAGAATAAAAATATAGGTTATGTTATTTATAAATTTTTATGAATTTTTTAACAATTTAATTTTTTTAACAATTTTTATAACAATTTAATACATGATTAGTGGAGGAGAAGAACATAATACTGATGTCAGCAGTTAATATATAAACTTTAATACTTAAATATGAGTTGTTTGCTTTTTAATTATGGCTGTATTTTGTGTATAAAAAATTTAACTACTTTTTCTCTGTTAAAGGTGAGCGAAACGCTTGAAGACTTGGGTCTGCAGCTGGCTGTGGAATTATGGTTCGTTGAGGAAGAGCAGGAGTAAGTAGAAAAATTAACTGCACTAAGTAACTTGAAATTTCTTTTTCTTCATTCAATTTTTTTTTATGTCATTGATATACTTTGCTGAAGCTGGATTGCAAATTTAAGTTGAGACCCATTTCTGCTTGTTTGCAGGACTGTATGTTTGGGTTGGTCTTGTCATATTCATATTATGATGAAATGTAATAAATGTTTTAATTCTAAAATTATGTAAAAACATTTGATAAAGGCAACTCTCACTTTCCATGTTTATTGTTGATAGTAAACATCTGCTGCTTCTCAACTGCACAAACTAAATTAGTACACAGAAGACTGAGTTTTTTAGCTCATAACATGAATGATATTAATGCAGTTTGTAAAGAGAACCTTTCACTATTTGTTATTATATACTCAGCATGCACATTCCCTTTACAACACAGTTATTTAATCAGTTGGTGATAGTCTTGAGCAAATTATGATACCTCCCTCTTCTGGCTGTAGATCTGACAGCAGTTTATCAAACTTGAAATGGCTTACCCTTTGAAACTTGAAATCAAGAAAAAAAAAAAAAACTTCTGTTTCTAATCTTGTTATATTAATTTAAATTATTAAACATCTATCTTGTTAAATATTTAATTTATGCTTTATTTTGTGCCAGCATTTTGTATCAGTTCTTCCATTTTTACTTATTTATAGCCTCCAATAAATAAGTACTGAAAATTGAGTCTCTCCATCATGTTTGGAAGATGACTTGAATAAACTTAACAAAATTAACTCTGGCTTGTTAATGCAAACTTTTGGGGGTTTAATTTAATCTTTTAATTGGATATCAGCATGTAAAATGGAATTGGCAAATTGAATTCAAATTCCAAGCTAGTTTGTTGTGTTCAATTTTGCACTAATGTCCTTGGGAAAGGAATAAAGCCATCTCCCTTCCTAATCATGGTTAAGTAGCAGAGTACACTGTGCTCTCTATCCCTGAGTGGTAATTAGCCTAAGAGAAGGAAAATGCTGAATTCCAGACCATAGAGAAAGCAATAGGAAACCACTCCACTATCTTTCCAAATAAGTCAAGACAATTCACTGAAAATGAGTAAAAGGAAACTAGCTAGCCATGATCACCTACATTCTGAACAGGCATGGTATTTTTATCTTATACTCAGAGGGAAAAGATATGAATAGGCACAGTCAACAAAGACTTAACAAATAGAATTAGTAAGAAGGGTTCAAAGTCTGTTTACAACTACTAATGTTTAGTGTTCATGTATTTAATCAATGAATAAAATTCTCCTTGTAGCTTGTCCCACTATCATTCATATCCACCATGGATCTGTTGTTATCTTCTCAGGATAGTGATGAATGTGTTTATAAGTCATTCAATGTCTTAATTCCTTCAACAATAATGCAAATATCTTTTGTCAATTGACATTTAGTGAAGACCAATGTTTACTCAGATATAAATATAATGTTTATATTAATAAAATATCTATTAAAAAATGACTGTTTATGTTTCACTACAAAACTAAAGCTAGCAGATATAGATTTGTAGAAGTCCTAACAAGAAATGTGCATTCTTTAAAATAGGTGATACAAACCTTGCTTTATCAATGCAGTCTTCATAAACAAATTAGTAAAGGCATGTTTTGGCTATAGAAATGGTTTCTCTGATGAAAAAGGAAATCCAGGTTCAATTCCTGTTGGAGGCACAAGCTTTCTTTAGTAGAACTTTTCAATCTAAGCTAGTTATTAATTTCACTATTTAAGAAAATAAAAATAACATTTATAGAAATAAGAAATACTCAGATATAGCAAAAATGAAATATTTTTTGAATTAGGGAAAATTTTAAAAACTGGTGCATTTGGACGGTTAAAATATAATGGGCTTTTTGGATTGGCATATTATTCTGATTTTACATGTAATTCCATAATCATTTTTTTTTTCGTTTTTTGTTTTTTTTCTTTCTTTCCTCTTTCTTTGTCTTTTTTCTCTTTCTTTGTCTTTTTTCTCTTTCTTTGTCTTTTTCTTCTTTCTTTGTCTTTTTCTTCTTTCTTTGTCTTTTTCTTCTTTCTTTGTCTTTTTCCTCTTTGTCTTTTTCCTCTTTCTCTCTCTCTTTTTTTCACTCTCTCCTATTTTCACTCTCTCCTTTTTTCACTCTCTCCTATTTTCTCTCTCTCCTATTTTCTCTCTCTCTCCTATTTTCTCTCTCTCTCCTATTTTCTCTCTCTCTCCCTCTCTCTCTCTCTCTTTCTCTCTCTCTCTCTCTCTCTCTCTCTCTCTCTCTCTCTCTCTCTCTCTCTCTCTCTCTCTTTCTCTCTCTCTCTTTCTCTCTCTCTCTTTCTCTCTCTCTCTTTCTCTCTTTTCTCTTCCTTTTCCTTTTTTCTTCTTTTTTTCCTTTTTTTTTTCTTCTTTTTTTCCTTTTTTTTCTTCTTTTTTGTCCTTTTTTTCTTTTTTTTTTTTTTTTTTTTTTTTTTTTTGTTTTTTTTCTTTTTGTCCTTTTTTTCTTCTTTTTTTGTCTTTTTTTTTTTTGTCCTTTTTCTTTTTTTTGTCCTTTTTTTCCCTTTTTTTTGTCCTTTTTTCTTCTTTTTTTTGTCCTTTTTTCTTCTTTTTTGTCCCTTTTTTCTCTTTTTTGTCCCTTTTTTCTCTTTTATCCTTTTTTGTCCTTTTTTGTCCCTTTTTTGTCCTGTTTTTCTTCTTTTTTTGTCCCTGTTTTTTTCTTCTTTTTTTGTCCCTGTTTTTTTCTTCTTTTTTTGTCCCTGTTTTTTTCTTCTTTTTTTGTCCCTGTTTTTTTCTTCTTTTTTTGTCCCTGTTTTTTTCTTCTTTTTTTCCTGCATACATTTGAGGTCTTAACTATGGAAAATGTTAATTTTTAGTTTATTCATTGTCTGAATACAATTTAAATACTTTCATAAGAAGGTCATATAAACATCAACATTAGATGAAATAATTTTCCATAAAGTAACATTTTCTGTTTTTAGTCACATTAGAATTGAAGGGCTAATTTGTCTAACTATTTATATTCTCTTGTTTATTTGTTTTTATTTTTCAAATAACAATTTTAAACTTTTTAATTGCAAAAATATTTATTTTATCTTGAGTATGAGAAAACATTTAAGATATGAGTAACCATTTTGATTGAATTTGTGTACAGTCTTGTGCCAGAAAGTGAAATACAGCTGCATACAGTTTTGAAATGGTTACCTGTCTATTTCTATAGACACAGTTTAGAGTTTTTGAATAAATAAACAATTACCAATGTTTTTTTACTGCTAATTTAATAATTGCTGTTGAACATCTTTCAGAATATATTAATTTTGACCAAAATAAATGATCAAATATTTTTGTCTTTTCTAGTAACTGGATGCATGTTATGTTTTCACTTATAAAATAACCAGGAAATGATATGTTGCTTTTATTTATTTTTGCTTCATAATATAAATATGCATGCTAACATTTATTCTAATTTGGAAATTTTATTTAAAATCATTTGTTCCACAGCTCATCATCAAGATTAGTTGCTATAAATCAATCTCGTCTTGTTTTATCAGTCATACTTGAGTGAAGTTGTATCAGGCATATCATGAATATTTAGAATTGTGTAATTTGACTAAACTTCATAGATATTGGAATGAAAATAGTAACATTTATGTCTGCTCAGTTTATGAGTTCAGAATGTTTTACTTGTTGAAGTAATGATCCCTAAATATTTATATAGTATCTATTAGTCTGACATCTGGTAGTAGGTGGTCACTCATGACTGGAAAGTGACATACTTCTGAAAAGTATTATAAGAAAGGTTTGGGTCATATTACAATTTTATCAGGATATCATAACTATTCAGAATTAATAGAATCTGCATTCATTGATTGGAAACATATTAATTACAGTAAAAAAAAAATTAATTAGTATGTGTTAGTTGTATATCTTTAATATATTATAGGACTGCAATATTTAAAAGAAAAATTCACTATAATTAGACAATTTCTTTTTAGTGTTTAGTGTGATCCTATATTATACACTTATGAAAATCATAAAGATGGATGTAAATATATATTTTTAATTTGATAAGCATAGATTGGTCATTTTTTTTTATTTTTTAAATTTTTTTTAAAGAAAATGAGGATGCAATGTATGCTGATTGGGTTGGTGAATAATACTTCTGTAAAGTGGATAATAAAAAGTTATTAGTTTGATATGCTTTCTAAAATCTGACTAAGCAGATGTTGATGGGGGTTTCTTGTTTGGGTCAAGAACTTTTCAGTATCTTTGTATCATGTGATATAGGATTTGAAACTCACTATTTGATAATTGTTAATTTAACAAACAGGAAATTAAATAAATTAAAATTGTTAGGTGAACAATTTTAAATATTTTTAAGGTTTGCTTTGTACTTCATTCTAACACCCTCCAAGTGTCTTTTAGCTTAGTAATTGTTTTATTTTTTTTCAAAGCTGATGTAAGATATCAGGTAGAAATGTCAATGTATCCAGAATCCATTTTGATCAGCATCATTAAAACTTCAAAACATTAATGATTAGTGAGGATCAAATATCGTCTTCATCCACACACTCACTTTAAGTGTTACATAACTCTCTTTGTAGAAAGTTTGTCACCGACAAACAATTTAAAGGAAAAAAAAGGTATGTCTGATTTTTATCAGGTGAGTGTTGTTGAATCTAACATGGTTTTACATTGGTTAACCCTTTCCAGACTGAATCTTATTTTTTTTTTTAATTTTATCAATCTTAAGGTAACTCAAATTTAAATTCAATTAGTGAGCAATTTAAACAAGTTAACCAGTCTATACCATCTATGATTACTCTTAGGTTTTTATCTCTGAATATTTGGTTTTGGTTATTTTTGTGGAAAGCAAATTCAATAAAATGGCCAAAAAATGTAAAATTTATTGTGAATATAACTAAGTATGAAGTTGTAACTAATTCTAAGGTGTTCTAATAAAACAATAGAAAATTCTGAGTACTGGCTGCACTCTTCTTTGCCCATTTTCTCTATTTATGATAAACAGATACACTCTCGATGAGGTTTTGTTGTATCACACCTATGGACAATAAGGGGTATGTCCTCATTCATATAAATACAGTAGTAAATACTGTATATTGGTCTGCAGTTGGAGATTCATTGTGGAATTCACTTGCCTCACTTCTAGCAGTTGACTACTTCTATGTGCTGCTGGTGAATCTTATATGTGTTGTTCTTGGCCTAAGTATTATTGTTCATTGCCAACCTTTGTTTGATTATTTTATTCAGTAACCTTTCCTAAGTTACAACTGGTTTTTTATCTGGAATGTCTATTGGGACTCTAGCTCACAACAGGCCTCAAGTGGAAATGGTATATACAATCCATTGCTAAAGATGCTGAAAAAAATGGTTGGTTCCCTGTACCACTCCAGAAAGTACCTGACTCCTTCTGCCATGCTTTTTTTTTTTTTTTTTACAAGAGCCATATCATACTAGAAATGTAATATTGATTTCACATCTGGGCTGGGGTTGCCTAATCTTCATTTTTCAGCCTTGACAGAGCTCAAATGTGTTTTCATGGCCTTGTGAGTGAAGAATTATTTTCCATCCTACAACCTCCTTCCCACAGATAAAACGTTACTAGACGCTTGCTATTGCTATTTTCATGGCAGAATTTGGGGCAAACTACACTCCTTTATTTCACCAACTCAGACCAGCCCTTCACATCTAGGACCTGCCATACCATATATACTGGGTCAACTCATCCTCATTCCTTCCCAATTCCATTGGCAAGGAGGAAATTACACGCTGACAGCTTCTCAGAACTGTTGCATTATGGAACAGATTCCCTAGAGGATGCTTCTCTGATCACTATTATCTTAACTTCTTCAAGTCGAGGGTCAATCGTTATCTATCCTACATAGACTCATAATATGCACCTCTTGCTTCTCCCCTGTATGCTCTTATAAAAACCTCATTTAGTAATCCTCTATCTTGTGTGGCTCTTGAGCTTTATATTGGGTAAATGATAGTTAAAAAAAAAGAAAGGAAAAGAAACAAAAAACAATGTAGGCTCTGATATAACACTCTACTTTGTATTATCACCATTGACATCTAAGATGAGGCACTTCCACTAGAGAGACATGATTTACTATGCTTACATTTACTGTCAAGATTATAGATAATTCTGATGATAATGGTTATTCCATTTTCAGAATCACTGTCATCCTGATTATCAGTAATACATGCACTTTGGCCAATTAATGAAGACTGTCAAATCCAAGTAACCATTGTAACTAAATTCCATTTGTTTGTTATCAGACTTAAGAATGGTTTGTTGAGGTCTTAAGCATTCATCAGATGATCTCTGATTGCAATGGTATTAAAATTTGATCATTTATTAATGCAGAATGACAAAATGATATAGTTGATGATTTTTAAGCACACAACTGCAACTTGGAAATCATTGTTACTCAGACTGGGTCAGTTAGTATTAATAGATTTAATTGTGAAAAAAATGCATATTTAGTTGGCCATGTCTGGTCTTTCTGTCTGGAAAGGCTTAAGTGTTAATTGTTCTTAAAGATTTGTTGGGGAATGAACTATGTAACTCAGCAGATCTTTGGAAAATATAAACAAAAATAACAGGAACTTTTTTTTCCATTCATTAATTTGGGGTTACTTATTTATTTATTTTTTTTTTTTAAGGAAATCTTTTCAGATTTGTTGATTTTGTATTTTTCTAAAAACAGCTCTTATTTTGGCACAAGTTTTTAAGGGCTAAATATTTATTAACAGAAATAAGGCATGTATTTTGTTCAACTAATGTTTTAACATATATTTTTTTTTTGTGTTGTATAATTTCAATCACAAAATTAAAGTAGCTTAAATTTGTAAATGTAAATACATTTCCCCAATGGTTAGTTTTATCTCATGTATATACCATTTAAATTCAGGCTTGTGTGTGTGTGTGTGTGTATATATATATATATATACACACACACACACACACACACACACACACACACACACAGGGTGGGGAAAAACAAATATTCATACACATACAAATTTTTAATTTATTTCCAACTAATGAATAAACATAATTTTCTTATTAACTGTACACAGATGCATAATAACTAAATATGCATAGAAAAAAGAAAAAAATTGATGTAATAGCAATAAATCCCATTTATCCATTTTAATGGTTGAAAGAATTATTTGTACAATGCAAATTTCAGATTTTAAAAGTTTTCAATTGCTTAAATACTCTAAATTATTCAAGCGGAATGTTCCAGTATTATCAGTAGTTATGTTTAGCCTAAAAAAAATACCAGCAGAACATTCGTAATTGATATTCATACAAGAAGGTTATCATCATGGCAAGAGGTAAAGAATTGACAAATTTGCAAAAAGAACTGATTGTTAAGCTCTGGAAAAGGGTAAAAGTTACAGGAAAATCTCAGAATCTGAATATTCCATTTATCACCATTAGTTCATTCATTGCAAGGTACAAAAAAACTCAGAACTGTTGAAGACCAAAGAACAGCAGGTGCTCCATGGAAGATTTCTTAAAGATCTTTGAGGAAATTAATGTGTCAAATTAAACAAAATCAAATGCCTACTCATCAAGAGTTGCTGAGTGATTTGCTTTCATCAGAAATCTGTCACTAAATGGACAATAAGCAATGAAATTCATAGGAACAATCTTCTAAAGTTACACTCCCCTTGGAAAATTCCACTGCTGTTGAAAAGACAGAGAGACACCAGCTTTATATATATTATATATATATATATATATATATATATATATATATACTCCATGAACTTTGAATAATTCACTACATATCCTCATCAACCTTGAAAGGATCTATAATTTGATTGCCAACAATACTAACCCAAATATTACTATATCTGTCCATTTTCCTTTCATTCAGCCATCAGTTTCATCCAATATAGTTCTATATTTATCACTAAAAATTACTTCTTTGACCAACTTAGCTGTTTTTTTATTTGTCATATTTACTTAAAGGTGGTAGTTTGTTTGCCATATGCTTAATATTCTGTATGTTTTCTCTGTTTAGTTGTAACACAAGCTTTAAATATTTTTTTTTTTTTTTTTTTTTTTGCTAGTTATCCTTTCAATTTTCCTCAAGTCTTTTTGTGACTTTCTCAAAGCCAGCTGTATTTTTCTTGCTAGTGTTTTCAATTTTGTTGCCCTTCTCTCTGAATGTCTTTGCAATTTCCAGTGCATTAACATCACTCAATTTCTCTTTTAAGATGATATCTTTCATGCGATTCATATATTTATAATATGAAAAAAAATCTTTTGGTTGCATAATAAAATTTTATATCACCAAATAATTTGTTGAAAATATATCTCATAAAAACATAAGTGGAATTCACATGATTTAATTATCATGCAAAAATAGGTATATCCTGAAATTTTAATGAATATGTTTTAATATGCAAAAAACAATTTTAGTGTGAAAACCTTGATTGAATGAAATCTAACATGGTGTCAAATGTGGGTTTTCTAACTAATGAATTATAAACATGTTGGCTTAGTAATTGTTACTACTTGTTGTTTCCTTTTAATTAGCTTTGTTAGGTAATTTCATGACATTAGTTCTTTAATCATTAATGTTTTGTTTTTTAATGTTTGGTTGGTTTTTGAGCAACACCTGTTATCAAATTTACTTCTGGCTTTCATGATCAAAGAGAAAGTTGCAAGTTAAGAAATGTCATAAGTTTTAAAAGTTGCAAGGGATCCATCACAGGTGACATTTGAAAGATAATGTCAGGAAATTTAATCCTTGTATCCAATATTTTAAGTGATTTATCTGCATTTGAAAGCTTTATGAAGTTGATTAATGATTTCTGTAAGATATCTTTTGTAATATCTGGCATGCTGGGATATATAAATAATGACTTGAAAATCTAATATTTTCAAAAAGATCAAGGTATTCAAGACTGAAAATTTACAAAAAAAATGTCTAAAAATGGGTGTGAGGTAACCAATATCTGGGGCATAATCTGCCACAAAAATTTTTTCTTGTCATATTTTTATTTTTCACCTTTTATATATATAGAAGTGGCAATCATTTTTTATAACATTTTTCTTGATTTAAGATATTCAGTACTTATATTATCTGAAACATTAAGATAGTTTATACAAGACTAAGAGTTAGATATTCATAAATAAACAATTTTAAAGCCACTTCCTATTATAATGACAAGAGTAATATAAAATTAAGGAACTCTGAAAGCATTTAAATTGAAATTTATATGTTTACATGTTCGTTTAAACTGCAAATCACATTAATAATTCTGTAGAGAACTGTTTTGAATTTTTAAATATTTGTAATCATTTGCATATCCATGATTTAACTGACGCTCACTAACAGAGAAACAAAAAAAAAAAAAAAATAGAATTACTAGATGTTGAACATTTTCTCACTTTTTTGTGGTCATTGAATAAAGTTTAATTTACAGATAATTTATTTATATTTTCTCTATTCTTCATATTATATTGTTGCAGATAAGACAGAAATATAAATTCTTTTGGATATAACAAATTTGTCCAATGAAAAAAAAAAAAAAAAAAAAATAGAAATAGTCTTAGTTCGGGTACAGTAGTATTTTCTAGGTTGAGTCTGGAATTTGGAAACATCTCCAATAAAACTTCAATATAATAATCTGATATTGGGAATGCGTTTAAATATTGCAAATGAAAGTCTATAGATAATTTTTGCAAGTGAAAACATCTAGCAAAGTCAGGAACTCTGTTTCCACCAGCCAAAGGGAGATAATGGGCTTTATTTTATTCTTTCTAGCATAGTACCCATAAAAATAATAATCAGGAGCTATTATTTGTGCATTATTTGAAAAATGTTACACAGAAAAATATATGGATATAGATTGTGTTTCTTATATGTGGATTATAGTAATAATGTCATCTATATTGGCATAAATCATATATGGCTCTTGAAAGTAAAGAATTCTTTAAAGAATTTCTTTTTGAAAATTTGTGTTCTGGCATGACCATTTTATAGACAGGATCTGATAGTTGAAATCAAGAAAAAGTCAGATCATATATGTAGCTATAGCAGACCACAACATAAAGTTGAAAGGAAATTAAAATTTGCAGAGATATCAGAACTTCACTTGGTGAACTGAATAAAAAAGAAATAAAACAAAAACTAAGAAACCTGAAGGCTGGAGTTGTGCCCATAATAGTTGGCACATTCGGAAGCTTGTCAATTAGTGTAGAATGAAAATTTTGGATGAATTAGAAATTTGAAAAATAATTAATTTGATGACGTTGGTCCTGAGTTGTGCTCGGAAACTGAGAAAAGTGGTAGAGATTTGAGATGATCGAGTGTCTGATCTGATTATGCAGATGCATGAATTATAATCATATATTCAGTTGGGAAAAAGTTTAATGATTTCGTTGCCAATATCCATCTGTCAGTATCATTTTATGATCATCATTGATTGATTTTCTACAGCTTATCAACCCATTGCAGATCACTTAAAGTCAGAAAATATTTTTAGATTGTAAGATATTTTTCCCTGTCGAATCCATTACATTCACTTATGTGCTAATACCATTGGGAAAGGCATGAATCCTCTTCTTCTCCCTCCAGCTATGGGCAATTAGCAAGACAGACCGGGTTCTATAGTCTTGGATGGCAACTGGTCTACTGCAGAAAGAAATGGCAACCAACTGTGGGGAAAAAAAAATCTGCCTCATCAGTCATGTATCAAAAGATACATGATTGCCTAAGTGTCTATCATGCATGGCACATAACTGAATTAACTCATAAGCTGAGGAGGAGAAGTGGTGAATTTATATCTTTCCCAAGGGTATTTACATATAAGTAAATATAATGAACCCAATGGAAACTGGAAATCTGCTCTCTGACTAACAATTCCAAGCCATTATCCATTACACCACCTGTACATTCAAGCTTACAGCACCTGGTATTCCCAAGTGGTCACCCATCTAGGTACTGACCAGGCTTGATGTTGCTTAATTTTGGTGATCATATGGGAACGAATGTTTCAACATGATGTGGTTGTAAGCCCTGAACATATAAGAAAAACTATCACCAGTTTTTGAATTTCTGGAAAACCATGTTCCTTGTAGTATATGTACAAAATAAACTGCTTTATTACTTGGTACTCAGTAAAATCATTTGATATTATTTGACCTATGCAAGTATCAATATTATAGAAAATACTCTTCCTATTCTATATTTTTTATACTGAAAAACAAAAAAAAAACAAAGGTTTCTTACCTGTGTTGCTTGTAATTTTTATATTTTTGAGTTTTATCTTTTTATAATAAAGTGATATATCTTTGCTAACTTGCAGTCTGTTTTGTATCTGAATTATCAACATTAAAGATTTATCTCGATAAAATAAAACGATTTCAATTATATTTTAATTTTCTTGGTAATTTTTTTTTTAATGTCAGCATTGTAATTTAAAAAATATATTAGTGAAATTTTTTTTAAATTTTTACAAAACTTCATTACTTAAAACCTTTTCTTGTATAAAGTGTCTTGCTATTAAATAAAAATTAAATTATTTTTTTCCAGTCATCGTCCTTTTCATTCCCTTCGGTAAGATTAGAAACTAAGCCTTTCTGCTTTTCTACTCACAAATAACATTAAGTAATTATTGTTCTAGATTTAACTGTCTATATTGATACTTTTCAACACAGGTTCACAATCTCAAAGAAATCTTAGGCTTGAAAAACATTTTAAATTTGTTTTATGAAACCTGAATGATGATGATGATGATAACAGCAACAACATTGAAAGAAGAGAAAAAACACTGTATATTCAGGGAATTCAAAGTTATTTAAAACTCCAAATAATTTTGAATTTTATATAAAATTGCATGTACATTTTTTAATAACTTTTTTTATAAGACAAAAATTCTTTAATTCATTTCTTGGAACTAATCAAGTCATTTTATATGAGCAGTAAATTCACAGTACGTTATTCATGATTAAAAAAAAATTTACTTTTGTTTTATACTTCAGTCAACTTTTCCCCCTCATTGTGAGAAAGTATGCTATTCTTTTTGCTTTTTTAAATTTTTTTCTCTGTATAAAAATAAATAAAATGGCCATATTTTTTTTATATTTTTAATGCAACCAATTTAGAATTTCCTTCTGAAAATTTGCCTGTTGACTCTGGTTCTGTAAAAAATAATAAAAAAAAAAAATTATCCTAAGTTAAAAGAATTCATTAATTTCATCTTGGCCTCTTTAGGTGTTTGAAGCACAAATTAATAAAAGTCATGTTCCAGGGGATCATCTTCCCTGGCAACACCATTCCACCCACTGCACTTAAAAGGGTTAAGATGAATCCCAAAAAGGATGTGCTGAAGGAACTAGACAATTCTTGGCCTTACTTGCAAGTTTTTGTGTTAATTATGATTTTGTGTTGAAACGTCCATCTTAGATTGTGCTGGAAGAGAAAAATATAAGAAGTTTTGGTTTAATTTTAATCAGTGTTATTTTTGAGTCTTGAACATATGTAGATATATTGTCTATTTTTAAAACCTGAGTTAATTTGGGTAAATTCAGAAAGAACTCTATGAATTGTTTCAGCTCTCGCTTTGAATTTTATCTTTAAGCTTCAAGCATAAAATCTGTGAGCCTTTGACTGACAGCATTCATTTTTATTTAATGCTTTTAAATCCTTATTTATTTATTTTTTTTTTTTTTTTGCTTTAACAGTAAATGACTTTTGTTTTTCATAGACATGCACTCAACCACAGTAATGCTGAGAATCCAGTATCTTTTAGGTTTGTTATCTGTAAAGTTATTTAATTTTTTTAAAATATTGTTGTAATATGCAGTTTTATTTTAAACAAAATAAGTACTGTATTTGAATTATACGTGTAATCCTGTGATTATTTTTTTTTTTTTTTTTTTTTTAAGAAAGTTTCAAGCCTGATCTGCTTTTCCATATCTGGCTAAATATCAGATTTTATTTTGGGAGGGTTTTTTTTTTTTTTTTTAGTCTGGGAAATTTTTAGCACACCCTTGTATATGTGTGTGTATGTATGTATGTATATAATCCTTCTCTCTACAAAAAATGTAAAGAAAAAATGATTTCTTCACATACATTCTTTATTAAAAATGTTCTTAAATTATCTTCAGGTGACATCATGATCATAATTTAGCAAATCATAAATATATAGTTGAAATTCCCAGATGAATTCTGTGGACAAGACAGATTGGTATCAAATGACAATTGGAAAAAAAAATCTTACATTTTGCTGACGTGTTTCGTCTTCTGACTTTTTCAAGGCAAAAATGAAATCTAAATGTTTTTGTTGTTATGTTTACATTAAAAATTCAAATTTAAAAAGATAGACGCTTCTGTCTAAGCCTTTTTTTCTGGTTAATGTAAATTACTTTTATAGTAAGGGGTTATTATTATTATTAACCAGAAAAAAAGGCTTAGACAGAAGCGTCTATCTTTTTAAATTTGGATTTTTAATGTAACTATAACAACAAAAACATTTCGATTTCATTTTTGCCTTGAAAAAGGTCGGAAGATGAAACGTGTCGGCAAATGTGTAGAATTTTTTCCAATTGTCATTTGATACCATATATATATATATATATATATTGTTATATTTTAGGATTTTATATATGAGAGTTGGCTGACTATGAAGGAGTGATACTAGAGTTGTGAAATTTTGCATGCATTAATTTCAGCTTATCTTATCAATAACTGCAATGTTTCTTTCCAGGTAAACTGACATCTGACTGTTGAAAAAGGATTCAAAAGTTATAAGTAGTGACTTCTTTTGAATATGGACAAAATTTGATCTCATGGTGTTATCAAATACCTGCTGAACAAGGGTTTATCACTCAAAGACATTTATGCTGACATGGTTGCTACATTAGGGGAAGATGCTCCAGCTTTAGTAACAGAGCAGAAGTGGGCAGCTGAATTTAGGAGGAGAAGGGAGAGTTTTGAAGATGACCCAAGGTCTGGATATCCTGTGATGGGCCACCACTGAGGAAAATATTGATAGTGTTCACCACCTAGTGGTGGATGACAGGCGATTGGCTATAAATCAAATAGGCAATGCTATCAGCATATTTGGTGAGAGTGAGAATATTCTGCACAATGAACTTAGCTTGACAAAGATTTCTGCTTAGTGGGTTCCACATCTTCTGGCACCTGATCAAAAGTGCACAGACTGATTACATCACAGGAAAAATCTGACATTGTTTGAGGTAGATCCAGTTTATTTCCATGAATGTTTCCTGACCCAGGATGAGTTTTGGGTTCATCACTTTGAGCCAGAGACAATCCATGCGGTGGAAACACCCCTCCTCACCTACTCCAAAGAAGGCTGTTTCATCTACAGGAAAGGTGATGGCCTCAGTTTTTTAGGTGTAAAAGGCATTGTGCTTATTGTCTATCTTCAAAACGGCCAAACAAAGGAGTACTATGCCAAATTGCTGAAGTAATCATGAAAGGTTATCAAATCCAAACATCCAGGAAAACTGACAAAAGGGTTTTTTTTTTTTTCATCAAGACAATGCTCTAGCACATAACTCCTTGGTTTCAATGGTTACTGTGCTTGATTTGGCTTTGAACTGGTTGGTCACTCTCCATATTCTCCTGATTTGACTATCATCTGTTCCCCAACATAAAATAACACTTAATTGGGAACCAGTACTGCAGAGATGATGTCATATCTACTGTTAATGACTTTTAGACCAACAGGATGATGTTTCAGATGCCAGTTTACCTGGAAAGAAACAATACTGTCTTTAATAAGAGTTGAAATTTAATTCATACAAAATTTCACAGCTCTAGCATCACTCCTTCATAGTTGGTCTATGAACTTTTCAGTTCACCTTCATATGGGTGCAATTTTTAGAATAAGAGGCTTGATAGTTTTTAATTAAGTATTTCATTGTACAGTAAAAAAAAAATCCTTTTTCTTTGTTCAAACAAAAATGCTGTAACCATATTTTTGTTTAATTTTTAATGTCTCACCCACTCTATCTATCTATCTATATATATATATATATATATATATATATATATATATATATATATATATATATATATATATATACACACACACACACACACGGAAAAATACAAAAATGTTTTTTTTTTATGACATTACTTTTTAAATATATATGAATTTGAATATTGGAAATACTAATTTGAATAAAATACAAAATAGGAACATTTCAACATGTAGAAATGTGAAAAAATACATTAATAGTTATGTTTTATTCATACTCTGAATCCCTTCAAAATTGATGATTGGCATTTAATGTTTACTGTAACATCTATAAATACATTTGTACTGTATATGTTCTAATCTCAATGAATACACTGTTAATTATCTTGTCTAAAGACCGAAATAATGGAATATTAAAAAATGCCCTAGTGTTAATTGGGATGTAGGACATCTTATTCTTTGTTTTGTATACCCACAGATACACAATATAATACAAGTTTTAATTCACAAAAAGTAGATATGAAAAAAATCTTGGGTATTTTGATTTTTGCAGCAGATATTACTGTCTACTTCTCACCCTGCTTAATTCTCTCTGATGTACAGATTCCAAGGAGAGAATTGCTTTTGGAATTCTTTCTGTGAAGGTCACAATGATTCAGCCATATTCACTCACTTTAATGTTAATTATAAAGCAAAAGAAACAGTTTTATAAATATGGAAATTATTCATGATGCAATATAACCCATATAGTTGTTAGTGTGCTGTAGAATCATGCATTTGCATTACACTGATTTGGTGGGGTGCATGCAAATTATTGTTTTGTTTGTGTGCATTTAAATTTCTCAGTTTGTCATGGTGCTGTGTGTATGATTGACTTACATTTTGAACCTGAATCCTTCCTTTTAGAACAATGAATATATTGTTTGCCAATGTTTTACTATGTGCTCAGTTTTTGTTTCACATATCCTTGCTAAATAAATACTTTTGTCACCTGAAGATAATTTAAGAAAATACCCTTTTTTTAAAACCAAGTTAAATTTTTTTTTTAATAATTTTAATTTAATTAAATTTTTCTTCAGTAAATAAAATCAATAGACTTTAAATATTTTTTTTTCTTTTGTGTAATCCTTCAATCTCATTTGGTAGAGTTGTCATGTGTCTTTAAAACCTTTTTTAAAATCTTCTCCAATGCTTGTCTTTTGCATGAGGTGTTCCATTAATACTTTTTGAATTTTTTTTTTGCCAATGACATTTAACCCTTTAATCTTTTTGGCAATGACTTTTAATCCTTGCTTCTGTTTTTGCTATTTTCTTTCAAAAAGATTCAGGGCTGTTTTTCTCAAATTGAGATGGGCTAAAGTTTTTCTTATTTTGATAACCACTATTAATTTGCTGAAAATATATTTTCTTTAAAAATGACTAAGTATTTTATAAAAAATTATTAGCCACAATCAGTTTTAAAAATGAGAACACTTAAAAACATCTTATAATTATTTCAATATGGTCTTTGTAGATATTATTTTAAAATATAAAATTACATTTTCATGTTTGATATTTGTGCCTGTTCACTGAAATAAATTATAACTGGAAATAAGCCATTTATTGCTCTCATTTGATGAAAACAGAAAATTTAAGTTTATACATTTTTTTATTGAGAGCATTTTCATTAAATTGATACATATTTTTTTTTCTAATTTTTTTTAAATTTTGAAACTTTTTGTCATGTTTTTGAAATATAAAAAAATCCATAAAACTACAATAAATTGCAATTAAGAAGAAAGTAAATTGAATTAATACAATTTCTCTGCTTTATCAGTTTTTTTTTTCTTTTTGTGATATTTTCTATTTCAGTTTTATAATATATTTTGCTAAATAAAAATTATATTTCTACTCTGAACATGTTAAGTTGTGACCCTTCCATCTACCTTTTTTTTTTTTATCATTTTTGACATTTTGTTTTCATTTTGTTTTAACTTTTTAATCTGGGTTTTAATATAAATCAAACAATTTATATTAAACTGTGAATGTATATACTTATAAATAGTAATGTACTTGCTAATAGTACACCTTTTTTAAAATATAAGCATTTACACAATGTAATATTTTTAGCAACAGTTTCTCTAACATTTGTAAATTTTCTGTGTGTATAAATAATTTATATTATTTTTTTTTAATTTAAAAAGCACAGACATCAAAGAATTATTCTTCTTTGCTTTGTAGTTATAAATATGCAATATTTTTCATTGGATTGGGTGCTATTGCTTTTCTTTGTCTCTGTTCTCTTGAATATAGTATAGTTTTGACCAGCCAGCCATTGGCCTCCAATTTTATTGCGATGATTACTTTAGACAAAAAAAATCTTAGCTTAAGGACTGAGAATGTACTTAAAAAAGAATGCTATAGTTAATTTCAGGTTTTATAAAACCATAGCATTAATATATCTACTAATAGCACCATCAGCTTCTGTTGGTTTTAGTTTCTACCACTTAATGGTATGTTATTCCTCTTTTTGGAATTTTATTATGGAAAAGATAACATTGATGTGGTCATGTGTTCATTAAATGTGTTCCTCTCATGATTACTAGTAATAAATTCTTCATTAGTCTTATATTACTTTAGGCAATCATGTTGGTTAGAAGCAGATGGTGGCAAAAACATGGCTATCTAGCCTGATATCATGGAAGGGTAAACAGTGGGATTAAAATCCTGAAATATGAAGATTAAATAAAAATGTCAAACCTTAGAAAATATTTTCTGAATTTGTATTTGTAAATTTTATCCTATGCTTAAATATCTTCTAA